TGTTTCACTTAACGTTTTTTTTACAGCCCCGTTTTTGCTATTTTTAAAATATTCTAAAATGTTTAAAAATGTTTAAAATGCTTGGAATAGTTAGTGCACCTAATAAAACCTTCGTTGACTTCATTTGGACTTCATTGTTCTGAGTCTTTTTGAATTTTTTGTGAATTTTTTTCCCCCATTGAAATAGGCTTCAATGCATTTCAATGGGTTTCGCTTAACATTTTTTCCTATGGGGATTTTCGCTTAAGGATGGTAATCCATTCCAATTGGAACGGATTATGCGGTTTTCAATGCATCTCTATGGGAAATGGTGTTTCGCTTAACGATGTTTTCACATAGCGATTTTTTTTTTGAACCAATTAAAATTGTTAAGCGAGGCACCACTGTACCTTGCATTTCTCCAACGTATATAAAAAAGAGCACCATTAAAATGCAAAACAAGATGAACTACTGAGACAGAATAAAATCAAAAGCTACGTCAAAAACAACATTCACATGCCTCTAGGAGAAGAACATCTCACATCTGTTAACAAGCTGATCCCATCTGTCAGTCCGTTGACAAAAACCACTATAGGAATCAACGCCTTGAACCTGCTCACACACCGACAGCTCAATGGATGGAACTGAGCCTCTCTGGGTGAAGGGGTTCCGGATCCTAGAACCACCACCAAGAAGGGCCTACCTAGTTAGCTGCAGCATTATACTTCAGATCAGGTGATAATAGTAGGAAAAAAGACACCAAAGATTGCTCTCTAGAACCACCCTCAAGTCTTCAGTTTTGTGCCCTCCGTGCTGAGAGGGGCACACTTTCTCTCTGTGGGGCTGTCCCCATGCATGGGAACGGTGGAAAACCAGGCTTCTGGTTCCTATGAAGACAGCAGCGGCTGTTCTGCTCAGGCTTCTTGCCCTCCACATGTTCAGAGTGATGGACACGAGGACAGAGCGAGCGGTTAACGCTCCTCCTGAATGTGTGGAGATCCTTCCCGAAAAAGCAACGCCCGGAACAGAGCTTATCTGGTGTCTTTTCCGTTCTGAGTCATCAGGAGAGAAAAGCCTAAATAAGCCACCATTCGGTTCCTGCCTCAGATCAACCGCTTGATCCTTCTCGCAAAGGAAGCTTTCGTGAATTAAAACGTGCAAAGGTCTCTTCCTCCAGACAACTTAAAATGGAGAAACGGGCATTTCCATTGATCTGAACTGACACATTTGGCAATACAGCACAGCTCAGCATTTGTGATTCCCCCTTTAGCACATGTGGCTGATAAAGCAATCCCAAGCCTTACAGCAGAGACACTGGGTTTTTGTGCTATGCCACAAATGGCTGACAAGCGTAGTTCAATGACGTGAAAAACAAAAAAAGGCAAGAAAAAAGCCAGGGTCTCTGTGAAACGGATTACTTCTATCCGGCTGATTTTTGCCCCCCTTCACCAGAGAAACTCCTCATGGCTAGTATTTATGACAGTAGTGACAAATCTTTCATCATCTGCCTTGGCCGAAATATGTGGGGAGGGGGGGGGATGGCTGCGGGATGATTTTCCTACAGCCTTGTAGTCAAACAAAGACCAGATTCTTGGAAGGTGGCAGGTCAATGGGCTCCTTGAATGTCTTTTAGGATACCCTGATTTCTCCCCGCTTCCACATCTCATCTTTTTTGTGCAGCTCTCGGGACAACCCTGGAAACTGTGTACAACTGTCACTCTTCCACTGACCTTGCCCTGTATTCTCCAGATGCAGATCCCTGGTCAATCTGGCTAAGGACCTGATGGGGTCTGGAACCCATTTATAGGCTCCCACGCCTGGTCCACCGTGACTAGAAGTCTTCTCTCTAAGCCTTCTTCTTCAGATCCTCCTGGAGATTTCTAACTAGCACTCTTAAGAGGTTAATTCTGAACTGAATACAGTATTTGCTTATCTTCTGTGCATTCCAGGTCTCATTTAATCAGCTCTAGCAGAAAGAACAGTGTATGCCCAAAGAGTCTCAACATTCAGGAACAAGAAGACATCTAACCGTTCACCATCCATCCACAGTTCCAAATCCCTATTTTTCAAGCTACAAAATAAATTTCCCCAAGAGTTGCAACCCTTTTGTTCTGACTGAATGCCCTGGATTCGTTATGCCTTACATCAAGGATCAAAACATGGGATGGCCATATGGAGAGATGGTCGAGAAAGAACCCTGTCTCTTTCAATCCTCACTCACAAGAACAAAATAAGCAAAAAGTCCACATCCTTCATTTATCGACTTCTCTGAACTTCAGTTTAGTTCCAGAACCAAACAGCCATTTGCTATTTGACAGGGGCTAGACTAAATGATACAGAGGATACAGTGTTGCCCGCTTGACGATGACCCCGCTTGACGACAAAATCGCTTGATGACGAGTTTTTTGTGATGATGGTTCCTATGGTTTTTTTTCACTTTATGATGATTAGGTCCCTGTTTTGCGAACCGATTGTTCACAAGACGATTAAAAACAGCTGATTGGCGGTTCGCAAAATGGCTCCCCGCTGTTTTCCGGAGCTATTTCTGCAAGATAGGGATCGCAAAATGGCCGCCCTATGGAGGATCTTCACTGCACGAGCAGGTATTTCCCCCACTGGAACGCATTAACCGGTTTTCAATGCATTCCAATGGTTTTTCCCCCTGCTTGACGACGATTTCGCTTAACAGCAATTTTCCTGGAACGGATTATCGTGGTCAAGCGGGTCACCACTGTATTATCAGCTCTGCCTGCAGTGGACAAATGAAGTTTCACTTTGGCTAGTAAAATAAAATAAAGAACCAGGGTAAACTCTGGTGGGCACAATTCCTTTGCAGGTCTGAAGCCATTGCTAACCGCTTCAAATGATTAAAGTACTGAATTATATTTTAAGAAAATATGGCAGTCTTAGAAGTGCCCGAATGATTTTGTCTGTCTCTCTCTTTGTTTTTGCAGGCGGGGGGGGGGAGGGTTGTCTTATATAATATACTCTTTCTGTTTCAGAATTATAATTTTCCCTTCTAGAAAAAGGCACAACTTTTATCTAAAAATCTACTATCTGGCCATGGCCACACAGACTTTCTTCTTTCAAACAGAGTAAGACTTTTCCAACTGTTTTGCAACAACAATTATCTTTTTATCAGCTCTAAAGTTCTACGTTTGCTCTAAATATAGTCATAGATTAGCTGGATGAGTCTAGGCAGACTGCTGCCATTAAGACCTTTAGATCTATAAGCTGGTAAACTCCCTAACCCAAAAGGAACAGAATGATTCTTATTTAAATCGCTGTCCTTGGATGAGCAAACTCCACCCAAACTCTCCTTGAACTCACACACCTAAGCAAGCTTAATAAACTTAAGTGAAAACAGAGAAAGATTCCAAAAGAGGCAAGAGAGAGAGCTAGAAATGCCTCACTTCTACTCATAAAGTGTATCTCCATAGAATGATGTGCTCTTCGATTTGAGCAAGAGCCAGGCTTCATTTATCAATTATATATCCTCACCCCACTTATCCTGCTTAGGGGGTCCCATTCTTAGATGCCTGGAGACTTTTAACTTGAGGAGCTGAGGTTCAAACATGAGCGTGCAGCCTTTCCTAACACCGGGGATTCACACGATTCTTTTGCTGGTACATCTGTTCAACTGGACATTCTTAAAATAGAAAGCCAACCTAGATCTGGTTATTCGACTAAACCCAATTCTGATTTCCTGCGTGCATTTTTTTACAAAAAACAACCAACCCATCTTGACTAGTCGGTGGGTCTGTGAGAACATGATTTCAATCGGCACCTTGACAAGAACACATCCTTTTCCTCTGTCTTAGTTCCCTGCGAAATATTGCCTCCTCAAAAAAGAAACACAGGTAGCTTCTCCAATATTCTCCAATATTCAAAGGCAGAAAATGGGACCGGCAGAGCCAATGGTGATCAGCTGCGGCTTCCAAAGGTTTTCCGGCAATATTATTTCCTAGACTTTTGTGGAGATCCGTGGTATTAGCTGGCAATTACCCATTCCAGTACTAAGAAGGTCAAACCCTGCTTAGCTTCTGAAATCAGATGACACTGGTGTTATTCATGAAAGGTATGGGGGTGGGCTGAGGAAGCAGGCAGTGAGACAAGGCTAACTCTTCCAGCAGGGAATACAACCCCCCCCCCCACTCTGTAGCCACTGAAGATGTGTTGCTGTTGTTTGGAACAATGAGAAAGCCAAACGGCCAGGTTCCTCCTGAGTCACATTGAGTTGGGGCCCTTCAAGATCAGCACTGAGCAGAAGACCAAGACCTAGCCGTGTTATTCAGGAACCAAGATCATTTGCTGGGCAGAAACAAACAACAATTAGAAAACACACTTTAACCAAAGTGCCACCATTGTCGGAACATTACTAGCTACTTCCTATATGCTGGAAAATAAAAAATCAGGACGTGGTAGTGCGGCGGGTTAGACTGCAGAAGCCTCTGTGCTGCAAGGTCAGAAGACCAGCTGTCGTAAGATCGAATCCACATGATGGAGGAAGCTCCCGTTGTTTGTCCCAGCTTCTGCCAACCTAGCAGTTCGAAAGCATGTAAATGCGAGTAGATAAATAGGGACCACCCTGGTGGGGAGGTGATGGTGTTCCGTGTCTAGTCGCGATGGCCACGTGACCACAGAAACGGTCTTCGGACAAGCATTGGCTCTACGGCTTGGAGACGGGGATGAGCAATGTGCCCTAGAGTCGGACATGACTGGACTCAATGTCAAGGGGAACCTTTACCTATATTTGGGGGGGGGGGGAGAGGATGTAGAGAAATGCCCAAGAGTAAAGTACTGTACTTACATCACTGCTCCTTCTCCATTGCACACTCAGCCATGGGACAAGTTATCAAATAATTTCCTGTACGGGCAATAGGACAGCTGTCCTACCTACCACTGTTCTAGATGCCAGACATCTCAAAGATTAGACATTCAAAACCACTATGGATGTTTTACAGGTTAGAGCCAATCACGCCTACCTTAATTACGATTGTTTACTTTAACGTTTAGGATACATTTCTTCAAAGTAGTCAATGTGTGGTGGCTGAAGTATGTCAAGAGCGGAGAGCACCTAGGAAAGAAAAGGACAGTGGATTTCGTTACTGGAAAACACTAGGAAATCAACAAAGAGAGGCAACCCTTACCAAAACATCGTTATTTTTTCCCCCAGAGAATGAAAATGAAAATTTTAAGTTTTCCCCAAAAGAAAAGATGCTACTGGTATCTGATCAAAGTGGATTAAAGGAGGGATAAAGCTTCAGGCTTAGATCTCATTGGGTCCAAGGTGGGTGGGCGAGGGATACAACTGCTAGCCAAAAACAGTTAACTGCTGCTACAACCTGCCATAGCGGGATGCTTCATGCCTTCAAATGTGGGAAAATATGCTTCTAATTAAATTCAACTCTGCAAAAGAAGTTAGCTGGTTCATGCTGACAGGAGACCTTTTGTCAAATCAATTCTCCCTTTAAAAACAACAACAAAAAAGTATTTTTAAGGAAAGCAAATCCTCAAAGAGATTTTACCCCACCCTCAAGCTATGGAGCGTACAAGCTTTGGTCACTTCTGATCAACAATGAACAGCTGACCTGATCAAGATAGCAAGCAGGATCGGCAGCCTGTTTGGGTGACTGACAATTAGCTAGTGTCCATCAGATCATCATTTTCGTATCTTACTTAGATGCTGCTGCAAACTTTGATTTCACTGTGGTACTGTTTAAGTCAGTTAAGACAGTAAGCAAATGCCTTCCTCAACCGATTAATTCTACATTTGTTTGCCCTGGAGGAACAAACTCCAAAAGAAAAAAGCGGGGTTGGCTATAAATGACGCAAGCTTACAGCACAGTACATGCTGTCTTAGAAGAGACATTATCCATTCCCTCTTAAATACAGGAGAGACTTATGTTTCTCTGAAATAGCACTAGCCGTCTACGGGGTTTATTCCATCCTTCTAACTTCCGTTCCTCCAACGGGTTGATCAACTAAATGGCCCCAAATTACTTTTAAAGCATCCAGCCTCTGCAACCTATCGCTGATGTGAAAAATGCAGCGCTAGTTAGATGATCCAATACAGAGGACATTTACAGCCAGCAAACCATTTGGAAAGCTTGAAGGACAAGTAAAATATAACTTAGATATCCAAATAAATGAAGAGATAATCTGACAAACTATTGCAGGAAGCATGCTTGGAATAACAGAAAAATGTCTCAAACTCACAAGATCAGCCGGGTTTATCTGAAGAAGAAAGGCCCACTCATGTCAATCGCAAACCACTATTTATATATCTAGAATCTAGAGGCCCCACTGAAAACAAAGCATTCAAACACACCACCCAGTTCACATACTTGGTGAGACATAATTAGATAAGCATGAATTCTAATTAATAATGAAAGAAGAAGGAAAGAACCAAGAAAGAATTACAAAACCAGCTTCAGGTGGATCCCTCATAATGTTTTGTGTGTCCTCATAGCCCCGTATATGTGTCTCTTTTGTTCAGCTTTCCTAAAGATTCGAGTTCTCTATATGCACAATCTATTTGCTTTGAAGGTCTTGAGCATGACCGTCCTAAAAGCCTAGCATTCTGCTACCTACGATTGACTTCCTCTTCTTTACAGTAAACTGAGGACAGTGGTTATTCTAGGGGGGGTGTCTGTTGATCCTTGTGGGAAGACCAACTGTTTCCACATGCTCTGAGTATTCTTTCGGAATAGCAGATGCACTCCTTCTGTAAGACCCGCAAAAAGCCATTCCAAGTTATCTTCCCTCTTTTTTTTGAGTGAGACTAGGGCCATCGAAAGTTGAGATGGGCACGAAGCAAATCACGAAAAACTGACAAACCGGGCTGGTCTGTGGTTTAGATTGTAGCCCACTTTGGGGATCCTGTCGGCCGAAATGAAACACCCAACTTTTTTCCGCTTGGTGCTTCGCTTCTGCCCCCCCTCATCTTGGGACTTTGTTTGCATTGGAAAAATGGATGGATGCTTTCCCACCCCGTTCCTGCTTCCCCCACCATCTAGTCCTGCCTCCTCCACCACCACCATTTTCATTGTTGCTCCAGTGGTGGAAGCCTTCAAGGATGCTTGCCTTCTGTGCAAGCATTCAATTCCCAGCTGATCACCCAGATCAGCTGGGGCGTGGGCTCCACAAACCATCGCAAACCACAATGTTTCCACCTTTGTGCCAATCTCTAATCAAAAGTAATGTAATGCACTTTTTCCAAAGCAAACATGTTTTGCACAGATTGCTAAAAACCACAAAGTTAGGATACGTATGATCATCCTCACCACCTTAGAACTACAGAGCCAGAAGGGACCCTATGGATCAGTGGTCCCTGTCAAGGAAGCCCAGTGGGGGGACTGAACTCCCAACATCTGGTTCTGCAGCCAGAGACCAAAAGCCTCTGAGCTATCCAGCAGCTCGTAAAAAATAATCTCAGAACTCCAAAACTAGAACGGGCCCTAAACTGAACGCTTGTGCAGACAATAAGCCCACCTTGGGGATGTGTATTTACTCCCCTATCGCTCACTAGCTCCGTGGAGCAAATTCCTTGCTTACTAGATTGCTCATTTATTTACATATTATGCTGCATGTTGACAAGAAATCCATGGTTTACATGTAACCCTTGCTTGTCTCAATAATGACTATAACTGATGGTCCCGCTTAAAGAGAAAGGGACTACAGGCTTTGAACACTAGCTCCTGACTTTTCAGTTGCTCCCACCCTCCCTCCCAGGGAACAGGAGCAGAATCTGTTCTATTAAGTCTAGGAATTTTCTTTTAACACAAATGATGGGAGTTTAACTGTCATGTGAGTAATTTTCATAAAGATATCATCAAATTCCACGGTTATTGCATTTGGTATAAATTTTCCACAAAAGAAACAAGTTTCTCCTGTATGCAATCCCGGTTGTTGTTGTTTTCAAAATTAGCAAGACATTTCCACCGCTAACGGAGTTCACTCAGAGTACAGCTGCCATGATACAGCACCTTATTCGGCAAAAAGCTAAAAGGAACAATTTGAGAACTACAGCAAAAATTGCAGCTTTCTTATGTGTTAAGCAAAGATAAACCAATTCCCCTAGCATCCTGTTTTTCTTCACACTGCTTCAGCTCAGACGTCACGGAATGACCCCCTGGATAAAGAAAACACCACAAATGAGCGACACTTGTGGGGAGCAGGGCAAGATCAGTTCAAATTAGCACCAAATTTGGGGGCCAAATGAGGAGGTGAGCTTGAGATCCTTGTGAACACAGATCTTCACTGGAAATGCTCAGCTATTTAAGGCCTTGTTATCGGGGCGCCTCTTACTTTCCACTTCAAACGCAAGGCCTGTGAGACCACCAGTGTTTGAAGGAGACAGCTTTATCAGCAATACACAGATCCTCCAGACTCTGCAGGGGCTAGGTATACTGGTTAAATCGGGAGGTGCAGGCCCAAGGTCTACACAACACACACACACCGTATATCAAGACAGCCCTACACATACCCTGCAAGGCCAGAAAAGAGCTATTGAGAAAGAAAAAAAATGCTTCTGAAAAGAATGAGCAGCTGTGGTCTCGCAGCAACATAAGACCTTCTGCAACGGCCTCTTGCAAAATTAACTGAAAAGCACCAAACCGGGGGGGGGGGGGACCTTGTTTCTTCAGGAGCCGAGGATCCAGGACCTCTATTGCAAAGTTTAAAAACTTAACATTTCAAACAGGCCCCTTCTGAAATGTTTGCAACCTTATTATATACTGTGTCACCCTAGCCTGGTACAATGTCACCCCATTCCTCCTTCTGGAATGATCCTGATTATATTTGCACACAAAGCTGAACCAGTTTAGCAAAAACTCCAGGGAAACTCCCTCCCCAGGGACTTCAGAGGGCCCACCCTGGACCCTTCCTGACCACCTATTCTTTTCCTTCCCCTTCCCCTCTTAAAGAAAACTCAGCTGCCTCCAGAAAGGGCCACAAGGAACTGTTTTGTCCTATTTATCCGCCGTGAGCCTGTTTTAAGCCCATAATGGCATTTATTCAAACTCGGAAGTGATCAAATGTCACTCCCAGTTTTGGAAAATGAATATGCTCCCCTGGCATAAAATATCAGAGGGGGCAGGGCAACATGGCTATCCACGGCCCTTAGAGCAGTAAGTAGTTCCCAACCCTGGGTCCCCAAATGTTCTTGGACTAAAACTCCCAGAAACCTTCACCACCCACTGTGCTGGCCAGGATTTCTGGGAGTTGTAGTCCAAGGACAGCTGGGTGACACAAGGTTGGGAACCACAGCCTTAGGTGTTGTGACGGCCCATTTGGTGGCTGGTACAGCTTGGAGGGGATCTTGGGAGCATAGAGCAGCATGGAGCCCACGCTTTGCTAAACGCTGCTTTAGTGGAACATACACGAGCAGGAAAAAGCCACAATAAACTTATAGGCTTGTCCGCTCTCCCCTTCCTTTATCCCTGCAGAGCCCTGAGGATGAAATCCAGACATTTTGGCTTCTGCTTTACTATTTAGTCGCAGATTGTCATTTGATTTAGACTTGGGAATGGCTGCTCATCTTCAATAGGACAAGCGTATACAGGCCACCATGGAGTGGATTTGTCCAAAATAACTACAAGTTGGTGGTAACAAGAATTTGCTGATCCCGATGACAAAACAGATTACAGTTAAGCAGAAGCGAAGACCTCCAAGCAATTTTGCATGCCCATACCTAGCTAGATGCTAGCTTGAGGCTTGCTGTTACCACTGGCTGGGTTCCTCTTCTAGAAATGTGAAGGGAAGCACACCACTGATGGCCTTTTTTTGGGGGGGGGAGTTGTATTCTCTCTGTGTGTATTTTCACCCTAAAAATGTGACTAGATTTCCATTTTGTGTTCTGTTGCTTGCATTCACTGTTGACCAAAATTCCACAATTCAACTTTCCTCAGCCACTCTGGCTTTGCAGGAAGTGTTCATTCTATGTAGCTATTTTTCACACGGTGTTTAAGTATGTGCTTTTATATATATATGATATTTTGTTTTCAAGCTTAGGAATCACCACCGAAATCTGTCTGCTTTTTAAACTATGCATGGAAGGGAAAGTGTATCTAACTGATAATGTGCCCATTGCATGCTGGGAACATGGCTGGCCATGCACCCAACATGCTCCAACTAGCACTTTATGAGCTAGCAATGCTGCCTTCTGCAATTTCTGGCCCATATATCATTCTTCCAAGAAACATTCTACGTGTTATTTATGTATAATAAGGGCATGCTTTACGTGAGGCTGCCTCTGGAAACTGTACAGAAATTTCAGCGGATCCAAAATGCAGCAGCCAGACTGCTGACTGAAGCTGGTTATAGGGATCGCATAACCCATTATACCAGTATGATTTTTTAGGATGCTCGTAATATAAGTCCTACCCCCCAAATAAGCCCCTGTTAAGTGAAACCCTGCCCTCCACCCTTGTGCAGCAACCAGAAGAAGAGGCCAGGACTGTATCTGAATCAATGTAGTTGGTTGTAGATGAAAAAAAATAAAACATCCCCTGAAAATAAGCCCTAATGTGGGGTTTTTTTTGGGGGGGGGGAGCAAAAATGAATATAAGACCCTGTCTTATTTTCGGGGAAACAGGGTAACTTACAGTCCTAAATGGCTTGGGTCCAAGCTATCTCAAGGGCTGCACCTCCCTTTATGAGGCTGCTTGGACGTTAAGATCCTCAGGATCCTCCGCCTTCCTCTTGGTTCTGCCACCTTTTCAGGTGCGATTGGTGGGGACACAAGAGAGGGGCCTTCTCTGTGGCTGCTCCCAGAGACTTTGGAACTCCCTTCCACAGTACGCCAGGCTGGCCCAATCTTCATTGACCATCTACAAGGGGTTTTTACACGGCTGATCTGTACCTTACTGCTCTGAATGTGTTTTTTGATGTTGCTTTTGTTTACTTTTTTAGTGTGGTATCTGTTTGGTCCTTTTCAGTACACGTATACTTATTATTTTTAGCTTTCAATATGGTCTTTCAGTGATGTAAGCCACCTTGAGGACTTTTTAAGGAGAAAGATGGGGGAGTATTTTAAATAAATAAATTAAAATTTGACCTTGCCATGATTTTATAAACTTTGCACAAATGAAACAAGCCTGACACAGTTTATTAAATTGATTTCAAGACACCTGGCTCAGAAATGCAAATGAAACACAGGAGGCAAAATGCCACATGACAGACAAAATTAAAAACAAAAAATGGAGTAGCCCCTGAAAATAGGAGGGAATATCTTATATCTAATGGGTCTCTAATACAGCAAGCTCGTCTCAGTTGGCTTTAGACAAGCAGCTCAGAGATACCCATGGTAGGTTTCAAACTTTGGCTGCAAGTTGTAGAAGAATGCAAGCAGTATCTGTTAATAGCAGGATGTGTCCACTCACATTGTCATGCTTAAAAAAACACAACATCTTCAATTCACGGAAGACCCTTTTGCAAGAGACTAGGTTTTGGAAGACGTTGGGCATCTTTTTGAGTGCAACTCTCTTTCCATCTCGCGGATCTGTTACTGACCTGCAGGAGAAGAAGAAGAAGAAAGGAGAAGATTTAAGCATAAATATGGGTTCCTCCTCCCACCCTGAGAATGACCTAGGTAAGAAGCTGGAGGCTCAAGGCTGCAAAATCTGGAGAGGGAAACACAATTCTTGAGCAAGTCTCACTGCATTTCTCTCTGTGAATTAAGCGAAAGCCAACGGCCCTTCAGGCCTATGACAACCCCGCATGCTGCTCAGCAGGAACCTATTCACCTCAACTGTACAATGCTACTTCTTGACGTCTGATCAATAAATAGCAGTAATTAAGTGCTTATATTTTTCTCCTCTTCAATTAATCCATTAGATCTAGGACACCTTGCCCATTACAAGCCTTTGCACTATTAAATCGCTACAGTGTGTCGCTCGTCAACGCTGACTTGCTAACAAGATCAATTTTGTATGGAAATCTGGAAAAAGTTACTCCCTTTGCAGCAGATTAGACCGTAATGAGTACCTTCTGGTGGGATGCGTCGCATGTGGTTTTAGGATTAAGGTAAGAGTGAGGAAGCACAGAGAAATACACTGCTTTACTATGGAAGTTTCTTATAAGCTAGCTCCTTTCCCCATCGTGCGCCCTTGGGACATAAGACCAATGGGGCTTCCTACGCGGTGATGTAGAGGAAAAAAACATGTCTCTCAGCAGCTGGCTTGCTCTTCTCGGCAAAATGCACCAAACAGGCTGAGGGAACTGTTAAAAGAAAAGATCGGCAATACTGAAGGAAATTAACTGCAGGAACTGAAGCAGCTGCCTTATTATGAAGCCAGTCCCTCGGCATAGCCAGCTCACCCACTACCTATACAAAGGATGTCTAATCTTTCTGCCGCAAGGGCCCCATTTAAGAATTTTGAGGAAACTGTCCTGGACAACCACCACAAAACGTTTGCCATTGGATAGCTGGCGAAGCTCAGAAGAGAAATAAACCTGGTTGGAAGAATGAGTACAAGGCAAAGGGGGGGGGGACTCTGAGACTCAACCCAAAACAACAGAACGTTTTTCAACCTGAAAGCTGAAGGGGTGTACCAACAGGTGGGGTATTTCAACCAAAGCCTGTTTCACAGCAAGCAAAGTGTCCACTCATAGAATCAAAGGATAATGGAGTTGGAAGAGGCCTATACGGCCATCAGATCCAACTTCCTGATCAGTGCAAGAATCCAGATCAAAGTAGATCTGACAGGTGGTTGTCCAATTTTCTCTCAAATGCCTCAAGCATTGGAGCAAGTATCTGGAAAGTGCTCTCCCATCTCCCCTCAGTCTTCTTTTCTCAAGGCTAAACATGCCCAGTTCCTGTTGTCTTTCCTCAAAGGGCTTGGCTTCCAGTCCCTTGATCATCCTCCTTGTTGACCTCCTTGCTCCAGTTTGTTGGCATCCTTCTTCAAGCGTGGTGTCCAAAACTGGACACAGGACTCTAGATGAGGCCTCCCATTTGCTAAATAGAGGTAGACTAGTACCTCACAGAATTTGGAGATTATATACTTCTGTTAATGCATCCTAAACTAGCATTTGCCTTTTTTTGCAGCCACATTGCACAGTTGGCTCAAATTTAGCTTTTAATCTACAACAAACCCAAGATCCTTAAGAACATAAGAGCCCTGCTGGATCAGGCCAAGGGCTCATCTACTGTATCTCACCGTGGCCCCACCAGATGCCTCTGGGAGTACACAAGACAACTAGATACCTGTCTCATGATCCCCCTTCCCCTGAATCTGGCATTTGGAGTTTCCTTCCTTTTAAGCGTAGAGATTGTACATCCCCATCATGTCTTGTAACCTGCAATGGACTTTTCCTCCAGGAATCTGTCCAATCCCCCTTTAAAGGCATCCAAGCCAGATCCCATCACCACATCCTGGGGCAAGGAGTTCCACTAATAACACGCTGGGTAAAGAAATCTTTTTTCTGTTCTCACTCTCCCACCACTCAATTGGAGTGGATGTCTCCTGGTTCTGGTATTGTGTAAGAGGGGAAAGGGCTTCCCTCTATCCACTTGATCCATCCCCTGCAGAATTTTATACGTCTCCATCACATTCCCCCCTCAGGCACCTTTTCTCTAGACTAAAGAGCCCCAAACTCTGTAACCTTTCCTCATAAGGGAGGTGCCCCAGCTCTCACCATTTGAGTCACTCTCTTCTGCACCTTTTCCAGATCCTTCTCACTCATAGTATTAATTACCCAAGTATCCGCTATCTTGTAACTGTGTATTTATAGTTTCCCCGTCACCCAGGTGTAGGGATTTATTTGAACCTTTTCATCAAACAAATAATATCCAAAAATTTTCACCTCTCACTCCAGATCACTATCAATACACACTGGCATGATTTCACCCAGGATCAGCACCCATCCACACTAAATTTCTCTCTCTCTTCACCCCAATACTCTCATCTATACACCACATATACCCATCATGTCCTGCTTCTGATGTATATCCATTTATTTCTGTAAAACAAAAAACAAAATCCCAACAACAACAATAACAAGGGTGACATTGAGCTATCACTACACACAAACTTTGTCAGCAATTATGACATTGTACATAGAGCCGCCCTGACTAGATATTGCTGCACATGTCCTTTGTACTTCAGAACAGCTTCGAATGTAAGACCAGTTCATTCAAACACTTGTAAGCTTATCCCTTAAATATTTTTGGGAAAGAAATATTTCTCTTAAAAATCTAACTTCCTTCACCACATGTAATCTACTATCTCCCACCTGTGTATAAACACAGCTTATAAAACTAGTGAGCAAAGTATGACAAGCAAGAAGCTTTTTAAAAAATCACATTGCTCACCATAGTAAGTCATAATTATAGTAGACCCACTGAATCAGTGGAACTGACTCATCAAATCTCTACTGATTCAGTGGGGCTACTCTAGTTGTGGCTTACCATGCTAAGCAGCAGGATCCCAGCCACTGTATGATACAACAGCTCTGTGTCTGGCAATCATCCTAATAAATCCTTCTTCCAAAGCATTTAGCATTAAGCTGTGTTTGTTCAAAAGATATTGTTCCTTTTAGAAAAAAGAGGTTTTTTTTCATATCTTAAGACCTATAACCCCCATTTTTAATGGGGGCAGCTGCTCAAAATGCTCCAAAATGTTGGACTCCGGGAATGTCAATATTTTAGAGGTGAAAACAAAAACCACGAAGCAACATTTCATTTAATTATTCGTACAAAGATCAGCCGGGCTTGTAGCTGGTAGCAATATAACCTTAATGAATGGGAATGGCGGGGTGGTAATTTCACGCCATGTTGAGTTTGTTCTCTCTTAACTCCGGCTTAGCAGCTGCTTTGGTTCAGCACAAATAGTAGGAGAAAACAGAGATAAGTGATGAAGGCTGTTACAGAGGAATGCTTTTATTTTCTTTGTTGGCAAAAAGGCTTTTGCTGTACCAGACTCCTCTGCCAGTTATCCCTGTCTGTATGAGCTAATGAGTTACAACAATGAAGATAACAGCCAGCTCTGACATTACCACCCCAGGCCTCCTTTCAAACAAGGGCAGTCCAGCAAGTCCACAGCCCGCAGAGTGTTATTTTAAAGTGTTAAAACTTCAGCATTGCAATCAGGACTATTCTCATCACACCAGACTGAGATCTTCATTATCCTTCCTGGGAAAACGGAGGATTGCAGTTAAGAGAAGAATGACTTCTGACTTTTTTACAGGACACGTGGTGCATGGAAAATTAATTTGTGTCCTGCTCAAAGGGACCAAAAAGCAACATGACACCTAGCAGGCTAATTGGTTTACTGTGGCACATACTGTATAGTCTGTAGGCCACAGACTGCACGGTCAGACAGAACGCATCGAAGCTCGGGCAATGTTCCCATTCACACTGTGTCATCAGTCTGTATTTTTACAGTTAACTTATGCAAATAGCCAGACCAGAGGTCACTGACATTTAAAAGGGTGAAGGTAAGGAGAGAGATTTATCTGCCAAGTTCAGCTACAAGGGTTACTTTGTTGGTTTTGTTTCTGTGCAGAATAAGGGCTTAGGAACATAAGCCAAAAGGTTCCTAGAAGTAGTAATTTTACCAGTGGGCTTCAAAAGATTTGTGCAATGAAACTATTTATTTATTTAAAATGTTTTTATCCCACCTTTTCCCTTAAAAAGACCCAAGGTGACTTACATCGTTAAAATACAATACTAAAGCTAATAATAGTGAATATAGGTTACAACTTTGAGTTGTGTCCAGAAATATATCATCAGCCAGCAGAGCTGCTATAAGGGGGGGGGTTATGTGATCCCTGTGGCCAGCCCCAGTCAGCAATCTCATTGCTGCAGTTTGGACCCACTGAAGTTTCCAGACACTTTCCAGAGGCAATCCTAAGTAGAACATGTCTTTATTATACATAAAACCACATCTAGAACATTCCTTTAAGAACAAAATGTGGACCAGAACCCTATTGCTTTTTGCCATGCATAGAAGGGAAACTACAGAAAGCTACATTGCTAACTCATAAATTGCTAGTAGGAGCATGCCGGGTGCATGGCCAGCATGCAACAGGCACTCATCAATTAGATATGATCGCTTCCACAATTTCCCTTCCATGTATGGTAAAAAAGCAGTAGGATAACAGAGATGGGGCCAGCCTGGCCTCCCATGGGAGGGAGTTTCAAAATCTGAGAGTAGCCACAGAGAAGCCCCCCCCTTGTGTGTCCCCACCAAATGCATCTGTAAAGGTGACAGGAATGAGAAAAAGGCTTCTCCTGACGATCCTAACTCTTGAGAAGGCTCATAAAGGTAGATGCAGTCCTCAAGTCCACTTGGACCCAAGCCATTTAGGGCTTTATAGGTTACAACCAACACCTTGAATTCAGCCCAGAAACGGCTGAATTCAGCCTGGAATCCACACTACTGTAATAAGAAAGCGAAATACTGCAACACTTCAGATTAGAGCCGCTCAGAGGTGTTTTCTATTACAGAATGGCATACAAGTAGCACTGTAAAAAAAAAAAACCCAATCACAACTTCACCAGCCATCTG